TCTCTAGAAATTATATATAATATTTTGTGTACATTTATGAAGAGAACCGCAGCTTTAATCAGGTTCTTAGAGTGGTATTTGGCTCAAGAAGTTTTAAGTTCTCCTACAATGTAGATTTTTCAAAAAAGGATAAGTGGAAGATCGAAGGAAAAGTTCTCTGAGAGAAGAAATGTTTTCAGGAAAATAAGTTAGCTAGAGAAAGCCTATTGTGGAGAGATTTCTGTTTTTTTCTATGACTTCCCTTCTCCCCCTCCCCGCCCCCAAAAAAACATCTTCAATGACAGTCTTGATTTCACATTAAATTCTGTCACTAAGTTCGTCTAATGGAAGACTAGTCAAAATATAAAAAAGTTTAGGAGTTTATCTCTATTGGATTATGAATTTGAAAATAATGGGCTCCAGAATCACTACCGCTATAAAAATAATTTTATTTTTTCAATAGGAGAAAGACACAACATGTAAGCTCTCTTTTCGATAGGCTCTAGACCCATTTCAGCAAATGTCTTTTAAAGTCTGTACTGATGGATTTATACTGATTCATGGAGAATCTCTGACTGTCCTTCGTAGGACCAACGTCAGGGGAACTTGTAGGATTTAGGAGTGAGGTTTATCACTTTAAAGGAACCGGAACTTGATCATGCCTACATTAAATAGAGCCAGATTAAGGAGCTAGACACATTTATTAAATAACATTTTTCTTAAGTCCTCATTGCTCGTAATATGACTTGCAGATGACCGAACAATTTATTATACTATTGTACACATTTGGTTTAATGTACTTTGAAAAAAAAATATGTCCAATTCCACATGTACAACTTATACAAAAACTTTCTTTGCAATTTAAATTTGAGGCCTCCTTAAGTCAGACACTCCTAGTCCAACGACAACAATGACTTTTCAGACATGTTGGAATGTTTTTCCAGGTAAAGGCATACAACTGGGAAAACAAAACAAAACAAAACAAAACAAAACAAAACAAAACAGAAAAACAATAAAAATCCATCATCTTCCTCACTCAACGAGGAAGATTCCCCAGAGCCAGGGCAGATGAACCAAGTTCGTGAGGACTGTGTGGCTTATTGTTTGTCATTTGCTTGTTTTATACCCGAATGAATATCAAGGGTAATGATTTCCACTTGACTATTAACTATTATGCCTCTATCAAAGTTAGCTTAGAGGAGGATCTAATTCCAAGCCTTTGTGCTAGCTTTAGCGTTTTTCTTATATTCCCACTTGTTTCATAGCCCCAGTAACTGAGTCTTAACCTTGTTAATTCTGCTTAAGGGTCCAACTTGACAGTCTTTCTAATACTCTACTGTAGACTGAAATCCTTTATTGTTTTCACCTGTGTTTTCATTTTTTGTAAGTACCATAAGAAACTGCCACACATTTAGCAGCTTAAAACAACAGCAAATCATTATTTCACAGTTCTATATATGTCTAGGCTCGGCTTGGCTTGGCTGGGTCTCTGCTCTATCACCAGATTGGAATCAAGGTGTCAGTAGGGCTGTGTCATTTTCTGGAGGCTCCAAGGATGACTCTGATTCCTGGTGCCTTCATGTTGTTGCTAGAATCCAGTTCCTTGCAATTGTAGAACTAAGGTCTCAGCTTCCTTGCTAGCTGTTGGATGGAGATTGTTCTCAGCTTCTATTTACCACCTGCATTTCTTGGCTTGTGGCCCCACTGCATCTTCAAAGCCGGCAATGGAGTATGGAATCCGTCTCATGCTTGGAATTTCTCTGACTTCCCCTTCTGTCTTTCTTTTCTTTTTTAAAAGTTTATGTGATTATATTGCCTCCCTGACCCCTCACCAGTTAATTCAGGATAATATTCCTATTTTAAGGTTTGTTGGTTAGTAACATTAATTCCATCTGTAAAAGACTTTCCCGGCATTACCTGGATTAATGTTTGAGTGACTAGTGAAGGAATAAGAATTATGCAGAGACCCCTTGAGAATTCTACTTGCTACAACATGTCATCCCAGGAACTAAAGATCTGTCTTAAAATCAAGGAACCAAGTTCTTGCTACCACCCATCTATCTTGATTTCCCTACTTTCCTGGCCTGATACTGGCTTGCTTTTTGTCTAAAATGTCAGAGTTACATGTTTAAAATATATTCTTAATCACATTTCTCTACTTGCAAAGACATCATTGACCATTTTCTGAACTCTCTTAATGATGATTATCTGCCTAGATTTCCGTCCACTCATTTATTCATCCATCCATTCATTCATTCCTTCATTCTTTCATTTAACAAGTTCTATCAAGTACTTATTGTATTCAAGGCACTTTCAAAGGAGGTGGTAATATGGCAGTGAAAAACAAATAAACAAGCAAACAAACAAACAAGCAAACAAAAAAACAGACTGCCCCCTCAGAGTATGTACATTTGTATCATATATTTATATATATGATATCAGACATATACAAATGAGTATATCATGAAATCTCAAGTGTTGGTAAGTGCCATGAGGAACAATGAAAGAGGAATGGTTCAGTCTGATCTAGGGTAATCGAGGTGCCTCTCTGAGAGATAACATTTAAGCAGGGACTTGGAGGGAGAGAAGAAGCAAATGTCTATCTGGGGGAGCATGTTTTAAGCAAAACGTTCTGGTCAGGTTTCGTGCTTACTACAGTGAAGAACAGGGAGGTAAAGTAGCTGGAGCAACAGACCAGAGGGAGGGAAATAGGAGAGGAAGTCAGAGAGGGGTGGGATCTGATCCCACGGGGCTGTGAAGGCCATGGAAATGGCACTGTTTTTTGTTTGTTTGTTTGTTTTAATTTTGACTAAGATAGGGTTGGAGAAATTTTCACAAAGGAGTTAAATGATCTGAATTTTCCCTGACCAGTTTGGCTGCTGAAGGAAACAGGAGGCCCTATTAGAAGGCATTTGCTATTGTCCAAGATGGAATGATTGGTGGATAGCAGTGGAGGAGCGAAGAAGTGGTTGTTTTTAGCATAATCTTGAAGGAAGAGACATCTATTGCTTGTTCCTGTACACTAATATTCTGTCTGACCTGCCCACAGTGGGTCACAGCTCCAGGCACCTCATCAGGGTTTCACCCATATTAGTTCTTATTGTCTTTTGCATCTTCTGCCTGATCCTATCCAGCTCTAAAGTCTGAGGTTCCATTTTTGAAGCTGCATAAAACTATACAATTAAAAAACAAGAGAAAACATCTTCAAACAGGCAAAGAGATAGCAAAGAGGCTGGAGAGTAAAGATATAATCTGAATACATTCTTTATAATGTCTAGTAGGTATGACTTATTTAGAGAACGAATAGGTGAGTGGTTCTCAACACTTGTACATGAAGAATTCTTTTAACCTAAAACTAGTTCAACTACTGTTTCTTAAACGAGTCTACTCACAAGCAATTAAGAAACATACTTTTCTGCTTTCTAAGATTTAGATGTTTTTAATAATAGATAACAACAGCAAAAGGTCTGTAACTCCAGTTCAAGGCAATCTCTAATGAAAGCTGAAAAAGAAAGACAAAATGCTGTGGGCATCTAGAAGTGGAAAGAGAAATCCATATTACAGCAAATATTATGACTTCATGATAGAATGGGGTCTCGGGATTTCTTCTTTTCTTCCTCCATTTCTGGGAACCGCCCCAGAGGGTTAATTGTTGTGGGATTTGATTCTCTATCTATGAGATAGCCATGGAAAAGAACTACATTGAGACCTATAATCCTTCATTCTGGGGGAAAACATGAGTTTAATTTAATAGATAAAGTGATAATATATCAAGAAACACCCCATAGAATCTAGGAATTAAAGACAGTTTGGACTTTTCAAATATCTATAGTTCCATTTCTAACCATCTCCTTTGTTCATTCTATTCCTAATCTATAAGCTACCCCCAGCGTCACTTTTATGCCTATGACCTTGTATGAACCAGCTCATTATTAGCTATGAAAAAGTTTGTAAGGTTAAATACCATAGTTTTTTTTAACCCTTCCAAGCAATTTACTAGTTTTCTAAATCAAATTCTTTCTCCTTAAACAACAGTCCTTTGTATGCTCTAAGCTCTTGCCTCTACTCTCGCTGCTTGCCTGATTCTCCAGAGTTTCCTTGCTATTTTTTATTGGAATTTTAGAAATACTCTTGCTTTTACACAGGGGACCCACACATTAGAGCATCTAAATACTTCCTCCCATTTCTCCAAACTCACAGTCTTTTATTCACTGTACAATCCCTCTCTCAGACTCATGATCCATAGGGATTTAAGACTTTCAGTGCTTAAAGGAGTTAATAATTGATAACAAATAAAGTGCTTACAACAGTGCCTGGCACTTGGCAACAATTAGCTGACTGGTAACAGTTATCATGATGTGATAGTCATCTGTAATACTGGAAGGTCATGGGAGAAAGTTTGTGAGGTGTTTACCACAGGTCCTGACCCAAAGAGATGTTCAACAAATCTTGGCCATTTATGATGGCTGTTTACATACAATGTTTTAAAAAAATATACGTGTTTTAAATAATTTCTTTAAAAAGTAAACATCTTACAAAGAAGAAAATTTAAAGTACACAATTCTGAAGTATTATTGGATATGAGAAATTTAGTGTTCGCAGTGTATGCTAAACAGTAATGATTTTAGGTTAAAAGGAACTGATGTCCTTAGAAACCTTAATATTATAAATCTGTTAGCAAATAAATGTTTGTTAGTGAATGTCAATTCTTTTTTAATTTTCATGCATGAAGCAGGTAGATTATGTTGCTTGCTGTGTTTAACCTAATCCCAGAGTTTTGATGCTAGACAGACTTACAGGGTGATAGTCTGGTGAGAAGACTTGAAGTACAAGTTCCATGGTACTCTAAGATTGAGAAAGTTTTAATTGTGCCAAAGTGGATGAGAGATGGTAGAAATTATGTTGTGCCTAGAGTTTCCTTAAAGCCTGTCTTAATCTTACTGCTGTAATGAGAATATTTAAAATAAATGGACAATAGTTTTCAACCCTAAAACATATTATATGCAGTACATACTTTACCCTAGTTTACAATTTACATTTATTATGTCCACTGGAACCACAAAGCCAATGTTTAATTTTACAGTTTAAAGTCACACATAGGGAAATGCTTTACAAAATAAGATATTGTTCCTTGATGAAAAATATTACAGTATAGGTCCCAAACGACTCAGTTCAAGTGATTTACAGAGCTGTTGTGGAAAACAGAGCTGTTGTGGAATGCAGGCTATAAGACACAGTAATGCTTTCAATAACTGATTTGTGTGAAATTTGTCAAAGCTGAGGAGATGTTTTAAATGATACCTGTCTTAGTTTTCCAAGATGTTTTTGTTTTTCAGCCACATTATGTTTACTGAAAAAATCATCACTTCTGGAAAAATGAGGGTAATAGACAGCTTACATTTTACGGCTTATTTACATACAACATGCAAATCTTCAATATTTTACTCTACCTTGAAAGCATCTTTCAAGATTTAAAAATCTCACTTCTACCTACTTAAGTTTATTTCCTGAATTTACTCACAGATTCTAATAGAGAAATCAGCTACTTGTGCCACTGTTTACATCAAATTGAATATATTTCTGCAATCTGCTCAGTTATCTGCAGTCTATTTACAAAGCACGTGCATGATTTCCTCTGACAAATAGATCATACTAAAATGTACAAAGTATTTGTCAACTTCTATATTTATGTCATGCTTGAGTATGTAATGCAAAACCACCATCCGGAGACTATATATATATAGCAACCAGTGCTGCATATTATATATATATATATCAATCAAAAGTCTAGCCTCACAAAGTCACACAGAGTATGATCTTCTATTCTTAATATGCTCTTATTATGGGGTGAAGTATTTCTAATATATTGTGCATTATTAAAGCAATGAGATATAGAAGCCAAGTGTTTACTATGGATATAATATACTGCAAAGCTTAAACAAAGTAAGGCCAAATATCCATAAAAATTTGTGTTTTAAAAACTGAACAAATTTGTTTGAAAGGAAGGCTTAAAAAGAATGCTGATGTCTTAGTAAGTAATGAAACATGACTCATCTAAAAGTCTGCTACTTTAGCCTGACACTCTTCAAGTTTTAATGTCACCTTAAACATCTTCGATGTACATATAGCTCATGTCACCAAACACTGTATTAAAATGACCATTAGATGCAATTTCCCTAACTTTGAGTATCAAGTTGTTCCCAGCCTTGTCAAAAAATTTGAGTTCTTTCTTGTAAACTGAAAAAATCATGTAGAATAAAACAGTAATTCAGAAATACCACATTTGACAGTTGATCACTGAAGATGTTAGCACCTTGATAAAAATTAGTTGTTCATTGGATGAGTCAAAGGAAAATGAAAAAAAAAATAATGCTCTGTTTTATCTCAAATCACAGTTTTCCTTACAGTGTTAGACTTAGGGTCACTCTGATGTGGCAGTGTCTTATAGGATGATGGGCCATTATTTGTTTTTTCATTTGACCTATGGATCAGTTGGTGGCACTATCAAGTAATTACCACAGACAGCAGACATAGCTAAAGTGCTAGTGATATTAGGAGTGCAATAAACTGGGTTAACTACATGTATATTTCAGTCTTATTCTTTTTTAAAACCAACATCTCTTAATATAACAGCATATTCCTTTATTTTTCCCACAAAATCTGCATTGAGATTTATGGTGTCATGGCACCAGAAAGACATTTGTCAGATTGAATGCTTCTCTGATTTGAACATCGTGTCTATTTCCACTTTTTTGTTTCACTAATGCATGGGTTTTATTTCAATATATTCCCATACATTAATTGACTAGAACACATTTATGCAGTATAGATGATGTGTTTCATAATGACATAACTTGAGAAGTCATTTCTTCAGTTTATGCTAGCAGAGAGCTATAAAGAAGGTTGTTTTTTTATCAGTGGACTTACCAAAGGAAACACATAAGTTCTTTTTCTATGTGTCTATATGATAGATCACCTTGACCCTCAACTTGGTTCTATTATAGCTTTGGATGACCATTTCTGTATTCATGGTTTTTCATTTATTTTGTAGCTTTAAAATGTTAAGAAATATAATGTATTTTTATGGCCTCAAGTTTAATTATAAATAGATTGGTAATATTCATCAATCATGCCAATGAGATTTTACACTCAGTCATAAACTATTAGCACAATTTGGTCATTATTAAATTCAATCTTATTTCACAAACAGTGAACTCTGTGCTTCTTTGAATCTGGCTGCTCCCTTCGCCTAAACCATGACAATGACATTTTTAATAAGGAAGGAATCAATGGGAGACATATCAGAGCTGGAGATTGATCTGGTCACTTGTGTGTCCAAGGGTGCTTTGCCTTATAGCTGTGACCAGACTGCGAAATCATAGTTAGAAGCAAGATGATGTGATTGGAAGTGTTGCTGCTTGTCCCAAGGTCTGTTTATCACTCCATGAGATTCATTAGTAGCAGTAAAAAATGTCACACTTTATCAATGGAGACCCCCTATTTGTAAAAACAGTATGACTACTAATGTTTGAATCATTTAAATCTAATTTGTTTACTCTCATTTTATAGTCATTAGAGACTAAATAATATGAATTTTTAAGGAATGTTTCCAAAGCAGCAAAAGACGTATTTGGTTTTATTATCACTGATATCACTTGGAGGTTATGTGTATACAACTTCATAATTCATTAATAGCTCCTGTTCAAGTTTATCAGTGAAAGAATGGACCTGATTCTTATTTATGTCTTAGCTTCAGTGGGAAGTTTCCAGGCTATCTATGTATCCAAGTTTAAAACCTGGACCTTAGTTGTTTGAATAAGTGTTTTTCTTATCTGTGACTTGGAAAAAATAGTATTATTGGAACCCAAAAGACCTGTTAACATAACTACAAGTAATAGACACTAATAGTCACGAAAGATTAAATTTAAAACTTCCTTAGAAAGGAAAACTATAGTATCAGAATAAGGATACATGAAGAATATATACATATACACCTATTTCACACAGAAAGCTTTCTGTAAAAAATACAAAAGCAACCAGTGCTGCATATTATGTAAACTCACAAAGTGTACTTTATACACAAACACGAAGCATAAATTAAAAAGTAGGACAACAGCAAAACATTTTAAATATAGAATTTGCACATATTTTTGTTAAATAAGAATAAATAATTTTATCACACAAATTCACATACCAGTTGCAAAAACAATAAATTACTTTTCTTCAGTGCTGCAACTTTTTTTGCTTGTGATTAATCCCTTAATTCTTAGTTTAATGGGATAAAACTGTTTCCACAGGAAGGCAAATTAAGTTGAATTTATTGAATAAATTAAAATAGTCCCCTTAAATCTCTAAAAAACAAGGCAGGACTTTACTTGACCCCTACTGTTCTAAAAGAAATAAATGTTATTTTCTTCTGGACTCCCTTTGTATTTAATGAAATAATCTGGAGTGTTTAGTTTTGTGAGTGAGATTAGATTCTTACTAACCTGAGCATTTCAGACAAACATCTTTTGAGAAAGGCTACTTAGCATCATGAATTTTAGACTATTTATTCAAGATGCAACTATGGAAAAGAGAAAGAAGTAATTCAAAGTCGAACTAGACTAAATTAGATTGTATTACTGAGAATTTTCCCTTTGTATATCATCCTTTATATCTACCAAACACTCCATTTCTCTGAAATTCAGTTTCCAGTCTAAATCATTTTTCTCAAGAGTTTAGACATACATTCCTTAGTCAATTTATAGGTATTTATACAAAAAAAGAAAAAAATCTAAAGAAAACTCCTTAAAAGCATGAAATAGTGGTTTATTCATTCTAGGCTCTCTAGGATTGTTTCAATAAAAAGTGTAAAACTTCATTATTTTAGGGGAAAATGAATCATTGATAAATCATATTTTAAAAGTCTATGAATACAGTATAGAGAAGCAGAGTAGAAAACAATCATGTTTGCTCTTCAATTATTTTTTAATGTTGCCATCAACATACCTACAAAAGACAAAAATAAACTTTGTCATAGTTAAATTGCTTGATTGAAATTACTTTGAAAATTGAAAAAAGTAATGTTGGCCTCTTTATTAGTTTTCTCTGGATAGACAAATGATTGGTGTGGTTTAAAATTTTTTTTTTTATGATTTACTTGAATGACTTTATTCCTTGCTCCTGAAAGCTGGTTGACCTCCATCAAATGTAGGTTACCAGCCTTATATAGGCCTCATTTCTCTAACTGGTAATTTATTAAGAAAAAAAAACCACTTTTAAAGTAAAGTCAATCTATGAAAAGCCAAAGAGTAATTATCAGTTTTGTAAAAAAATTGTTTTACCAAATAATTTCTTAAGAAACTACTTAAAACAGTGAGACATCCATTCTCCTGGCCCACTGAAATGAATGTGATATAGCAAGTTCAATTACATAATTATTTTATATTAAAAATATCTTATAATAAAAATAAACTCTCATGAGCTTTAGGGAACTCAAACAAGTAGCTCCCTATCATCTTTATATGCAAATCTTCACAATAGGCACATTTGGTATGCTTATTATACAATTTTATAAAAATGATTGGCTTTGTGATACTTCACAAAGGAAAAAAATTCCAATGAAATGAAACACCTTAGGTTTTCTGGGGTGGAGGGATTCAGTCTACTATCTAAAAAGAGATTTTTATGCATACGATTGTAAAAATTTTCCATGTCAAACTATTCAAACTTACAACCTACCTAGGCAGGCTATCAAAAATAAAAGCACAAAAATTCTCAAAAATCATCATATTTCATCACTCAAACACTTACTGGTACAATCAAATGCTTTCCAATCGGGAAAAATCTTAAGTGCAGTATCAGTATACTTGGATTTTAAAAAAATGCAAGAAATTATTGCCTATATGGTGTGGAAACAGTCTTACTGATATTAACCACTTTTTTTTTTTTTTCACTAGCCACATTAATGATAATCACTTCTGGATGTGGCTAACTACCAAGTGAGCTTTAATATTCTTATTAACTAAGTCAACAAGAAGTCCAAAACATTGTAGGTCTTAAAGACTCTTGAACAAAACAACAAATAAGCAAAAACAAACACATTTTAAAGGCTTGCTGGTAAGAGGTACACCAGTATCGAAAGTATTGAATTGTGATTAGAAAACTCTTTGCTGTGTGTACTGCATGTGTATTACACATTGTGAGATATCAAATGAGAGCCGTAGAAAGGGAAAGCGATTGTGAAAGATAAATTGAAAATATGAAGTATGTTTTTATCCTTGTAAATTCTAACATGAGGAAACTAATTTTTAGACTCTTGAATATCATTAACGTACACACATACAAACACGACTTCTACAACCTAATTAGGCATTAATTTGGCTGGCTGCCTGAAAAAATACAGGCCATCAAAGGTTTAAGTAGATGGACCTGCATATGTATGTAAATGACTAGATACACTGAGATCCTTTTCTTTTCAGCTTTTCTCAGAAGATGCTTGCTGTCAAAATGTGTTTTGACTAAAATTTGATCTCCTGTTGTCTAAAAGTATACTAAATCTTATTAAAACAGCAGCAAGTTCTTAATTTCCAGTAAAACATCCACAGCTCTTTCTGGAAACTGAAAGGAGTTGAAATAGCTGTAGACCTACTTTGGTCAAACACTTTTTTTTTTAATAGAAATATATATATATATTTATATACATATATATATTTTTAATAGAATCAAGTGATATAAAGTGACATACCAAGGGATAATGTTTACAAACAATAAAAATAAGCTACTGTGTATTATGGGTGAAAATGATTATGATGCCTTTGAAGACATTCTGTAAGAGGTAGGTGACAAACGGGAGACTGCTGTTCTGCCATCTTCAAATGTCGCCTGATTCTACATTCATCAGTGTTTTTTCATTCTTGTGGGCCTACGGGATGTTCATTAACTCCCAAGTTTTTCTATATTCCAAGGTCACCACTGTCACATGAAACAGTGCACATTTTCATTTGGTCAAAGGGAGCAGATTCTGCCCATAATTGGACTCCTGTTGGCAATGACACTGAAGCGTGACTTTCTGTGCTTTAGGTAGACCTCTTCTTGTTCACCACAACCAATTAGTGATGAATCATCCAGTTATCTCGGCGTAAGACTGTAACCACAGGCTAACATTTCTTCAGCAAACATTGCTTAAATGCAGAAGGCCTCTGAGAGAGAAGACATCCTTTTGCTAACTTCCGGTTTCCATCCTGGCACTGCACCGTCCGAGTGTGCCATCCCGTGTCACAGGTCCTGGAACAGGCAAGCCATGGGCCCGTCACCCACTGCAGCTGTGGAGTGTGCGGTCCTACTTTATTGCTGCCGTGGCTAGTGACAGAGTTTCCTTTTTGAGTGGACTTATTGGGAACAAAAAAACTGTATCGGACATCTAATGCTTTAGTTGGGTCTGTAGCAAGAATCTGCACTATTAGAATTTCCTTTGTGGCCGAATAGCCCATCCCATGCAAGAAGTCATCCCTGTGGCTCCAGCCACTGTAGTTCATGACTGTTCCATTGATGTCAATGATTGTTTCCGAAGTGGAGATCATGTACTTTCCGTTGATAAGGTACTCACCATTTTTTTTCTTCAGGGCTAAGTAGGCAGTGAATCTAGTCTGGTCTTTGGCTTTGAACTGTCGGACCTTTATGTGGGTTGCGCCTTCAGGAATCCTCACAACATCTGTATAACCCTTACTAGAGACAGGAATGTCCACAGCAGAGAGAGGAAGAGAGAGAGAGGAAGGGAGAGAGAGAGAGGAAAAAATAAGCAAACGCTTAACAAATGGATAAACGAATAGAAATTCTCTAAAAGTCCTGCCTTACTTTAACACAAAATTTTAATGTATTTAGGATATTAGTTTAATTTTGGTTTCAAAAATTAATTTTCTTAAAATAGAATTGTGGTTACACTATCATTGTATATGTTTTTATTATGATGTTCAAAAATTAGGATGATGTTAGCAATCTGCCTTCGTTTTAAAATTTCATAGTAACTTTATTTAGAGATTTACAAATCCTATCATCTTTACAAAGCTACTTTACGTTCTGGCACAAATTGGGTATATATATAAACACAAACTCACAAAAATCTGCCCTTGATTTCATAAAAATGTTTTAAATTAATGTTTTTCAAACTTGTTTGAGTATTAAATCACATGGAGATATTAATTTTAATCTAATTTTGACCCCCAGAACCCAAATCAATTAGATCCTCATCTTTCAAGATGGGGCACAGGGAGCAGTCCTTTTGGATTTTATCACATTGCTCCAAATGACCAGTCGGGGAACCATGGACTTAAGTGTTGTTGAACAAGAGACAGAGTAGAGGCTCTGCTTCCATTTCTACTAGAACTCTGGGTTAACTGGCAGGAAGAAATGGAACATAAAATTCTGTAACTGGGTCTACGGCCATGCCACCCTGAACAAATGCGATCTCATCTGATCTCGGAAGTTAAGTAGGGTCTGGCATGGTTAGTACTTGGATGGGAGACCATCTAGGAATTCCAGATGCTGTTGGCATAAAAAATAAAAAATAAGGGATTGTAAACTAACAAGGTCCTTGCAATCTGTGAGGTCCACCAAGGGTTGCCTTGCCAAAAAAAAAAAAAAAAAAATCTGTAACTGGGTAACCAGAGCTTGCTAGCATTATTAAAAGAAAAAGAAAAAGAAAAACAAAAACAAAAAAACAAAAACAAAACTCTAATGCCTAGGCAAATTTCCCCAAATGCTTAATGTCTGTGAAGGATTACGGTAGATTGAGTGACACTTTATAGTAGGTAACAAATAAGATAGGTCTCTAATGATCCATCTTTGGCTCAGGAAAATGGGCAAAGGCATAAATATCTCTAATACCCATCAGCTTGCCAAAAATGCTAGGATGGAAATGCTAGTAAGCAGCAAGGGACTATGCCAGTGAGAAAGAGTCATCTTTTACCAAAATCTTTGCCTCTATAAGTAATTTCGTAGTAAGATTTCTGTGTCTTTTACTTTCCTTATCATTTAAATAGAAATAAATTGCATGTGCAGTTTGACTGATGTGTATAAAATTTAATTATTTATTTTCAAATTCTTACTCAAGTTTAGAGGTTTGGGGCAACTCATTCATATACTGAAAATACAAGTGTGTTTCCTCCATTCAAGCATTTCCTATGATTGGAGAGGAGGCTCCTCCCCAAGGCAGCCCCTGTCTATGGGGCATCTGGTCTACCATGACAGCCAGACAAGAGTCAGAGCTTCTTACTATGTTGAAGAGAGAAGATACAATGCTGATGATGTTGCTTATCCATTCAACTTGACCCATTATTTATTTATTTTTTTAATGTATTTTGGATTAGACTTCATTGTAAAACTTTTTTTTTGAAGCATCTAATATCAAGAGATGATATGAAAACCTGCAGTGGCTTTTTTAACCCAAGCCAAGAGGGATGCTGGAGATAATATCTCATCTTACATAAAAAGCATATAAAGTGGGGATGTATTAAAGCGTTTGAACAAATTCACTCCAGAGCTAATACAATGGCAGGGCTAGGCTTTAAAAATGGGCCCCCTGACTCTTATATACTGTCCTTTACTCTGGCTTTTACCAGCCATGTAAAATTGGGTAAGTCCTAAACATTCACAGTTCCCATTCACTCACTTGTAAAACAAAAGCTTAGACTTGATCATTTCTAGGGTGACTTGCACCTTTGAAAAAAATAAAAATGCAGATTATAACTGGATTTGCAGGGCTTGTGACCTACATGGCCCCACACGATTAGATGAATAATGATTATGTCACTAGCAAATAGGATCAGCAATACATATTTTAATTCAGAATAAATTCTAAAGCCATACAATTTTTTTTATCACATCGAAGATAGTTTTTTTATATTAACATGGTTTGTAATTGTTTTAATAAAACTTTCCTGTTAACACGGTTTGCCTATTACTCTCCAGTTAAAGACAACAAAGGACATCAGGACTACAGGTGTGCTTGGCCAGCACACTCAGCATAAAAGTGGTCTGGTGAAGAAGAAAAACAACAGTGCATCCAGCAGACTCTTTAGCTGGCTCAGCCATCCTTGCCGATAGCATAATATTTTATGCCAGAAATTGGGACCTTATAAACTTAAATGTTCAAAGCAAAAGTATAATCAAGGACCATGAGAAGAAGCAGGAAATAGATACTATTCTTTATAGAGCACCTTTAAAGTGGGATAGTTAAAACAGAATTTTTGTCTATACCATGGCAATTAACTCAAATTTTGCAACGAGAGATGTTTTCTCAGGAAAAATATAGCCCCATGAGAATTTGTTAAAAAAAAAAATAGGAAGGAAATGGGCCCTCCTTTCCTAAATTATGTTTCAAGAAGGATGCAAATACTGCTAAAACGAGAGGGCACTGACTTTTTTTTTCAGTTTTCATACTGCGAGAACGTGACATCACGGCCACCAGTTTACCGGCTTCTAGAGGCACCATGAAGTTTCCACTCGGCAGCCAGAGCTTTTGCCTCCTCTCCTCCCCTTCTCATATTTATAATGTGTCACCGGAGCCCTGTGAAGCCCCCTCCCACAGACAGCCTATGATGTAACGTGAGTCTTCCTTTATCAGCTTTGCAACAGTCTAAAGCTTCGTTCAGTCCATGCTCAAGCAATTGCTGTATCACATTACCTTTTTTTATTGAAGGTACCGATAATCTTGGTACAACTGGAGTTGTCTCCTCCACAGACTCCACACTTGTCATACTGCAGCTTTGAGCCAATGATGCCATCACAGCCAGTCCGCACACACTTCCCCCGGACGCAGACGGAATTACTGTACGGCCTACATTCGGTTCCATCGGTCACCTGAATATGAGAAACACATCAGTGGTGGGAAATAATCGTGCCCAGGCACTTAATTTCTTAGTTAAAAAAGCAAGTTCTAATTTGTGAGTTTTGAGTTTGATTGGAATAGATAGTACATTGAAAAATAAACAAAGAACAAAAAACCCCCCATAGTTTCCAGGAGTATCTAACTGAAGAATCCTTGACATAGCGGCAGAAATAAGATCTGGGACAAATCTGGGTTATGCACTTTCTCTCTTGAGCTTAATTCCGAATGTGTTTGGAGGACCCAAGTACTCATCTCCATTTCTGTATGTGTAACATGTCCCGATTGGATAGTCTCGCTTTTTTACACTGATAGAAGCATTCTTCTCACTCAGCGTGTGGCAGAACGAGAGCAGGCTCAAGAGCACAGAGATATTTCTTTGTTGCATAACTGTTATTATAGCAATAAATCTGAAAATCTACACCTGACATTCAAAACCTCGTAATGGTCGAAAAGCCCTCCCTATTGCGTCAAACTGTCAGATGCTGAAATCAAGACAGGTTAGTGTAGGAAAAAGAGCCTGGAGAAGTTAGGGAGAAGTACTTAGTGGAAAAAACTAAATATGTTTAGATAAAAGGATTATTATGTACTTATGAAGCTAGTTATAAAATAATATATATGGATTATTTGTGGTTTGTGCATATGAGTGTATATAACATGTCATATATACAAAGAGACATATTTTATATTTGCATGTATGCAAAATTCTTCATATATGTGTGTATGCATGTGTATGTGTGTGTAAATTGAAGTAGGGTACACTTCGACAGGTTAATAGCGTGCCAGGTAGTTATATTCCCAGGTGGTGTTTCTGTTTCTATTTCTCTATAATATT